AACAATTAGTTCCTATTGAAGCTGTTATACACAAATACAATACTGGCATCAATCCAGCAACCTGGGAATTCATAAAAAACCAGGAGAAATCAACCCAACCAATTACTGCCGCATCAGTCTACTCTCAATCATAAACAAAGTGATGAAAGGGGTCATCAACAATGCCTTAAAGCAGCACTCTGTCAGCCATTACTTACTCACTGGCATTCAGTTTAAGTTCTGCCTGCGGCACCCAGCTCCTGATCTCATTATTGTCTTTGTCCAAACATGGACAAAACAGCTGAATTCCAGAAAGTGCCTCCCCTTAACATCAAGGCATCAAGAATCCATAGCAAAACTGGACATAATAGGAATAAAGAGGAAAAGTTTTGGCTGGCTGAAGTCATGCCTAGTACAAGATGTTTGTGGTTTTTGGAAGACAATCATCTCAGTCCTAGTACATCATGGCGGGAGTTCCTCAGGGCACTAGGCCCAACCATCATCAGCTGCATAGTCCATTATCTTCTTTGCATCAGAAAATCAGAAGTGAAGATGTTTGCCAATGATTCATGATGAGCATTGTGCATTCATGACTCCTCAGTTACCGATGTAGTCCATGTCCATATGCAGCAAGATCCTTAAGCTAATAAATTGCATGTAACATTTGCACCACACAACGAGAATCTCCAACAAGAGAGAATATATTCATTACCCCTTGATGCTCAATGGCATTATTATTGCTGAATACCCTATCAATATCCCAGAAGCTACCACTGATCAGAAACTGAACTAGACCAACTATATAAAACTGTGAAAACAACAGTAGGTCCTAGCTAGGAATCCAGCAACAAGCAAATCACCTCTGTTCACCATGATATCTGTCCACCACAAAGCAGAAGTCAGGGATGTCATGGAATACTCACCACTTTCCTGGAATGATGCAGTTCTAACAAGAAAACCAGCAACATTTGGGACAAAGCAACCCACTTTTTTGGCACTCTGTCCACTACCTTCAAAATTCACAGCCTTCAGTACTGATACATGGTGGTAGTATATCATCCACAGGATGCTTAGGAGCAACTCACCAAGGGTCCTTTGACACGATCTTCCAAAACACTGACCTCCACCACCTAGAATGAAAAGGACAGCAGATGTCCAGGGAACATCACCCCTCCAAGACACAAAACATCCTTTCTTGCAACCATATTGCTATTCCTTCCTTGTTATTAAGTCAAAATCCTGGAACTTTGTGTGTACATGCACCCTAAGGACTGTGGCACTTCAAGAAGGCAGCTCTTTACCACCTTTTCACTGGAATTGGGGATGGGCAATAAATACTGGCCAATAACACCTGCATCCCTTGAACAAATAACCAATCCTTACACAGATGTAAAATTTTTCATGAATTCTGCCTCGACACCTATTGCTTCTTGGGAATCTATTCCGTGTTTCTTAAAATAATATGACATAAGCATGATTTGGCTACTTACTTTCTTTGGATTTACATTCTGGTCACAGGCCACAGATACTCTATCGTTATGTCTCACTGTCAGTACATCTATAAAAGACATATTCATGATATTATCATTGTATCATAAAATGCCACCTGAGCTATAAAGGTCTCATACTCCATCTCATCTTGGGATCACTTGCAGCTTGATACTGCATTGCGAGAATGCTGTTCCACAGTACATAATAGCTTGACATTACATCAGACACCACACTAATGTGCCTGAATAACATAATGTTTTTACTTAATAATTAGTAATAATAAATGACTGTTGGATACTTCAGGACTATGATATCCAGTTTCTGATGCCACAACAGACAACATAAGCATTGCTGCATTAGCTAAAACATCCTTTTGGAGCAAAAATCACATCATACTTCACATAAATGCCTGCTATAATCTAATATATGAAATAACCCAGAAGCAATATTACTTTCACTGAGATCTTTCTTAATTAAGTTAACGTTGTAGGATGTCTTAATGCAACAGCTAGTCATAAAATCTCATATATCTTCGCAGGAGAAAATGGCCTTTAAGAGGAGGCAGGTCACCGGTATTGGAGGAGGGATTACAACATTACAGGAAGTTATGTTTGAGCAAAAAAAACTGCAGCAACAAATCTTGAGAGAAGTGTGAGGAAATGGTGAACTAGGTGGGAAATTCCCCACTGATACTCTTTCTCTTGCTCAAGCTCCAAGTGCAGGACTCTTTCAGTTGCTGGGTTCTGGAACACAAAGCAAGCCATGATAAACCTACATTTTAGAACTTCTACAGACAGCAGAACATCAGCCTTAATTTGCCTATCATCTTCTCTACTATGATTCTGCTGAAAGCATAGCCATCATTGGAGTTCTCCGCTTCATTAGATGGTGACTGCAACGATGCCCTTAACCACAGATATGAAGGTGCTGGTGTTGGACAGGGATGGACAAAGTCAGAAATCACACAACACCAGGTTATAGTTCAACAGGTTTATTTGAGATCACAGGCTTTGTGAGAGCTGCTCCTTTGTAAGGTAAAGCACCACTCCACCTGACAAAGCAGCAGTGCTCCGAAAGCTAGTGAATTCAAACAAACCTGTTGGACCATAACCTGGTGTTGTGTGACTTCTGACATTTACCACAGAAACCGTGGCATCCAAGGTCATCAAAAGACCAGCCTTAGATGCTTGCACTTCATAATAAAGCTGCATAGAATGAAAGGATTGTGCGAGGTACCAGGTAACCTGATATTGACCTAAATTTTGTTATGCTATCTCTGCATTGAGAAAAATATTTTTTGGTGCATGTGAGGGGAAGATATCTGGAACTCCAAGCTGAGTAAAAGTCCTATCAATCAACCTGAACCTGCGCAAACAAATGAGAAGTAGGGAAGAATTTTACCTGCTAAGAGGGTGGGTGGGTGCAGTGGGGCGCTGGGGGAAGGGAATGTAAGTGTTGGAACCTCTGAAAAATGATGTCATGCGGGGAATCTGAAATGTTCCCTCTTTCTTTTACATTTATCAGTGGAGGGTTCAGAGATGAACCAGAAATCCCCTTGAAGGTGTTGGGTTAAACATTTAACTTTGTTAAATGAGAATCAAGTAGCAATTGAACTTTCTATTCTGACTTTCACAGCTAGTACACATATTTTCTGAGCCGTGTGGATCCCATGAGGACTCAGAAAGTGAGAACATAGCATCAGGTCATTGATCAATGAAACTCATGCTTGAAAATGTTGAAATAGAGAAAATGAAAGCTGCAGCCATTCCCAGGGGACAGCTTTGTATTCTCAGCACATCTTAACAATGTGATTTCAATGGTTTACAGAATGGGAACAAGTTTTTGGGAGTAATTTGGATTACACTGTTGCAAAGATATCTGCCCTCAGCCTTACTGCAGTATAGGATCACCTTATGCAGTCATAACATCAATCCCTGAAGAGGAACTGAAGGGCCAGTGACACCATTATTAGCAGCAAAAGCAAGAACAGGAACAAAGAAAGAAGCTGCCTTCTCCTCAGCCACATAGTACTCCACAGAACAAAGAGTCATCAGCCCACTGAATGTGCCCTCCCCTATCTACACTAATCCCACTTGAATGTTATATTTCCAGTGCTTATCCATGTACTTTTTAAAGGTTATGAGGTTTACTGGATGAAAAGAATTTGCCTCAAACTCCCTCTAAACTTCCTGCCCTTCACCTTAAAACTATGGCCCTTCATTATTGACCCTTCAAGCAAGTGGAATAGCTGTTTCCTATCCACCCTGTCCATACCTCTCTTAATCTTATATACCTCAATCAGGTCCTCCCTCAGTCTTTCTCTCTAAAGATAGCAATCCAAGCCTATCCAGCCTCTTTTTATAGGTAAAATGCTCCATCCTGGTGTATCTCCACCACACCCCATCCGGTGCAATCACATCCTTCCTGTAGTGAGGCGACCAGAACTGCACACAGTACTCTGGCTGTGGCCTAACCAAAGCTCCAGCATAATCCCTTTGCTTTTATAATCTCTGACATGACTGATAAAGATAATTGTCCCAAATGCCTTCTTAACTACCCTATTAACCTGTACTTCTCCCTCGAGGGATTTGTGGGCATTCACTTGAAGACCTCTCTGTTCCTCTAAGTTTTTGAGTGTCCTGACATTGAGTACCCTATTGTCTTGTTAGGGCTTCCAAAGTGCATCTCCCCACCTTTTCAAGGTTAAATTTCATCAGTCACTGATCTGCACCTTTTGACTAAACTGTCTATATCTTCCTGTAACCTAAGACCTTTTCCTCAATACTAACCACCCAGCCAATCTCTGTTTCATTTATAAACTTCCTTATCATACCTCTGCCAAATTCTCATCTGTTTCTTTAATATATATCATGGACAATAAAGGACCCAGCACTGATCCCTGTGGTATACCACTGGATATCAACCTTCAGTCACAGAGCCTTCTACTTCCACCCTCTGTCTCCTACCACTAAGTGAATTTTGGATCCAACTTGTGAAGTTACCCCTGGATCCCATGTGCTTTTATTTTATCAGTGTTCTTTATCACGTGGGATCTTGTCAAAGGCTTTGCTGACATCCATATTAACTACATCAACTACACCAACCTCACCTATACAGTTGATCACCTCTTCAAAAAATTCTATCAAATTTGTTAGGCATGACCTCCCTCTGACAAAGCCATGCTGATTATTCCTGATCAAACTTTGCCTCTCCAAACAATGGCTGAGTGACCGGTAGCCCTTGCTTGCCATGTCAAAGGGTGCTGTAGGTTTCTGAAGATTTTGAATGATGCAGAATTTGTAGATTTAGAATGATGCACAATCCCCTACCTTAAAACACCTTGCCACTTTGTTCCACAACGACATATTTGCCAGAAGAGATTCTACTCATTTTTGTGGCTAGTTTCCATAACTGGTAGTTGTTCTGGCTATCCACCACCTATTGACACATTTGGTAGCTGTAGCTCACCCCAACACTGAAGGTCTATGTGCTTTCTTTGGGTGAAATGTTAATTTGAAACTGCCTGCGCTGTCTCAGGTGGCCTTAAAAGATACTGATATACTATTTTGAAGAGGAGGGGATTGATCTCATGGTGTCCTGGCTAATTTTTATCCTTCAATCAATATCACAAAACAGGTTTTCTGGTCTTTATCACATTGCTGTTTGCAGAAACTTACCTTGTCTGTTGTGATTCGTACATTACAACAGTGACTACATTTCAAATGTACTTTATTTGATGTCAATGCATTGCAAAGAATTATCTGTTAGTTGTGAAAATGCTATGTGAATGCAAATAAATAAATTGAAACAAGACATTCATCCAAGATGACTAGATGGGCACGAGCAGCTAATAGCTGTCAGTCACCTTAGTCCAGAAGTTCTTCACCTCCGGTTCTTTTCAAACATCAGTTGGGGAATTTGCAAGATCTCACAATCCACTACAACTAAGTCAATTTCCCAATTCACAGACACCATGTTTGTCAAAACTACCCAAGATGTGTACATTGATATTGCTGCTATGACTTGATTCCCACAGATCCAGAAAGTAATTGACTGTATATGTGGCAATTATATGAGGACATCAGATCAATCAGGAGTATTTATCAATGGAAGGCACTGCACTCACTTAACGTGCTGATCATTTGTGACCATTAGAAAGTTTTTATGTTCAAGACATCTTGGAAATTGCCTTGATTCCAACATCCCTCATCAGTTAAGTCGACCAGAGTGTCTGAGCAGACTGGGTAGAAGCCTTCTTGGTGACAAGGACTGTCCCCTGACGACTGGGCTGATGATAACTTTCAGGAGCCTACCGATTAATGCCAAAAAGTACAACAGGATGGCTGGGCTGCAATAGAGGAAGGGTCAAACAGTTTGATGTGCAAGGAGTAGGAAGCAACGGAGGAAGTAAGAAGAGGAGAATATCAGCTGTGCAGCTGGAGCCTCATATCTGGCTGTGCAGCATAACCCGCACTGGCCTCATGAAGTTATGGTTTAAATAACAAACAAAGGTAAGGCCATAAAGAACTGCATCCTTAAATGATTTTGGCTCCCCTTCCACCTTGTTTAGGAGCCTCCAGCACAAAATATTTCCAAGATCAAAAATGACTCCATCATAAGCACTCATTTCACACAGACGCTTTTTGGGAATGCTATTCTGATGCAACTTTTCTCTACTGAATGTTTTCAAGATGTTGCAATGAGATGGACAAAACCTTTCTAAAAAGCTCTACTCATTTGTTATTTCACAATCTAAGCAACATTTTCATAGTGACGAATGCCCAAGTGAATCCCTTTGTGCGACTATGAAGTCTTCCTCTGATGTTTTAGTTGAGCCAAAGACAGGTTACTCATTTCCCTGCTCTTACAGTGAAGATACTTCTGCAGATCTTTTCTGGAACTGTCTTAACTGTACTTTGCAGGGGCAGAACCATTCAGCAAGACAGGAGGTAGCACACAGAGTTCTGTCACAGCGAAGGGAAATACCATGAGAGGAGCCCCGTAAGCATACGTCATACTGTTGTAGAGATCTACAGCACAGAAAAAGGCCCTTCGAGATGTCGAGTCTGCACCAGTCAAAAATCAACCCTCGAACTAATTCTAATCCCATTTTCCAGCACTTGTCCTATAGCCTTGCATGCCTTGGCATCATAACTGTATATCCAAATACTTCTTAAATGATATGAAGGCTTCTGCCCCAACTACCCTTACAGGCAATGATTTCCATATTCCTGCCACTCTGGGTTAAAAGCTTTTTCATCACATTCTGTGTAAACTTGCTGCCTCTTACTTTAAATTTATGCCCTCTTGGCCATTGATCCCTCCACTGAAATGAAAGGTTCCTTCCTGTCTACCCTGTCTATGCCCCTCATAATTTTATACATCTCAGTCATGTTTTCCGTCAGTCTTCTCTGCTCCAAGGAAAACAACTTCAGTCTATCCAATCTCTCTTCATAACCAAAACTCTCCAGCCAGGTAACAGCCTGGTAAATCTCCTCTGCACTTTCTCCAGTGCTATCACATCCCTCTTATAATGTGGATTCCAGAACTGCACACAATACTCTAGCTGTGGCACAACCAATATTTGCTACAGCTCCAGCATTACCTCCCTGCTCTTAAACTCTATGCCTCAGCTAATCAAGGCAAATAGCCTATATGCCTTCTCAGACACTTTAGTTACCTGTCATGCTACCTTAAGGAACTGGTGGACACGCACCCCAATGTCCCTCTGATTCTCTGTGCTTCCTAGAGTTCCTAGATTCTTTATGCATTCTCTTGCCTTGTTTGTCCCGTCCAAGCGCATCACCTCACCCTTATCCGGATTGAATTCCATTTGATGCTGATCAACCCAGCTGACCACCTGTCTATATCATTCCGTAATCTAAGCCTCTCCTCCTCATGATTTACCACTCCACCAATTTTTGTATCACCTGTGAACTTATTGAGCAGCACTCCTAAATTCAAGTTTAAATCGTTTATACATACCACATACAGCAAGGGCCCCAACACTGCTCACTGCAGAGTTCCACTGGACAGAGATGTCTAATCACAAAAACACCCCATGTCCATCACCCTAGCTTCCTGCCACATAGCCAATTCTGTCAAATTTCCTTGAATCACATGAGGCTCTTATCTTTGCTATCAGTCCCCCACAGAGGACCTTATCAAAAGCCTTGCTGAAGTCCAAATGAACAACATCAAATGCATCTACACACCTGGTGATCTTTTTGAAAAATTCAATCAAGTTGGTCAGACATGACCTTCCCTTAACAAAACCATGCCATTTTTGATTAAACCCTGCTTCTCCTTGTGCATATCAATGCTGTCCTCAGAAGTGCTTTCAATAGTTCACACCACTGAGGTTAGACTAACTGGTGTGGTTTATTCCTTGCTCCCTTCTTGAATAACGGTACCACATTGGCTGTCCTCCAATTCTCTGGCATCTCTTCTGTGCCCAGGAAGGAATTGAAAACTATTGCCAATGCCCCTGATATTTCCTCCCTTGCCTCACTCAACAGCCTGGAATACATTTCATTCTGTCCAGGAGATTTATTTACTTTCATGCCTGCCACAACACTGAGAACCTCCTTTCTGTTTATGCTGACTTTTTAAGTCTTTCACGGTCCTTCTGATTCCTTCCATACCCACATCATCCCTCTTATTAGTGAATACCGACAGAAAGTATTTATTTAGAAGGCTACTCACGTCCTCTGGCTCAATGCACAAATTACCACTGTGGTCCATAATGGGCCCTATTCTTTCCCTAGTTAACTTTTTATCCTCAATTCTTACCCTCAATGTGTCCATCCTCCCTCTTGTGACCCATATGCACTTTCTTGTCAGTAGAAAATCGGCAAACTTTTGGCTGCATGTCAGTGGACATTTAGCCACCAAGGGAAAAGTTTTGCGTGTTTCTCTGTAAATTGGCAATTGGAATGTCCAAGCCATTAGCATGTACCAAGATGTATCTGGTGACCTGTCATGTTTGAATCTCCATGCAGTAGCTACTGTTTCCACCAAGGTCGTCACCAGAGCAAATGTCTGAGAGATTTCAAGCCACTCATGCTTGAGATTGATTCCTCCATTTCAGTGCAAGGATGCACTCTACTGGAAATTCTGACAACCCAGAAGGGAAAACCAGTAAAGCTCACAAACAATACATGTAGTTCTTTTGTCTTGCGTGCCTTAAGATGAGGCCTCGGGACGGCTAGTATGTTAATTTTCAAGTATTATTGTTTCTCCTTTACGTTGTTTTCCATCTGATAAAAGCAGGCTCATTTCCCCTTGGCACTCCATGGGTATGTTTAGTGTGTGATCCCCAAAGCTCTGCATCTGTGTCCAACTGAAAAGAGTTTGTGTTTTTCTGTGTTTTCTATTGTTGACTCTCCATTGCTTTTCCTGTCTTCATTACCTGCCCTTGCTGATATATAACATGTTCCTTAGCATAGGCCTTCGACAAGGTGCCGCACAAGAGGCTACTGCATAAGATAAGGATGCATGGCGTTAAGGGTAAAATATTAGCATGGAAAGAGGATTGGTTGACTAACAGGAAGCAAAGAATGGGGATAAATGAGTGTTATTCTAGCTGGCAGTCAGTGACTAGTGGTGTGCCTCAGGGATCGGTGTTGGGACTGCAATTATTTACAATTTATATAGATGATTTGGAGTTGGGGACCACGTGTACAGTGTCAAAGGTTGCAGATGACACTAAGATGAGTGGCAGAGCAAAGTGTGCAGAGGACTGTGAAACTTTGCAGAGGAACATAGATACATTGAGTGAGTGGGCAAAGGTCTGGCAGATGGAATACAATGTAAATAAATGTGAAGTCATACATTTTGGTAGGAGTAATAGTAAAAAGGATTATTACTTGAATGGTAAGAAGTTGCAGCGTGCTGCTATGCAGAGGGACCTGGGTGTCCTTGTGCATGAATCACAGAAGGTAGGTCTGCAGGTACAAACAAGTAATTAGGAAGGCAAATGGAATTTTGTCCTTCATTGCTAAAGGGATTGAGATTAAAAGCAGAGAGGTTATGTTGCAGCTGTACAAGGTGCTGGTGAGGCCACACCTGGAGTACTGTGTGCAGTTTTGGTCTCCTTACTTGAGAAAGGATGTACTGGCACTGGAGGGGGTGCAAAGGAGGTTCACTAGGTTGATTCCGGTGTTGAGGGGGGTTGGCTTATGAGGACAGACTGAGTAGATTGGGATTATATTCATTGGAATTCAGAAGATTGAGGGGGGATCTTATAGAAACATATAAAATTATGAAGGGAATAGATAAGATAGAAGTAGAGAGGATGTTTCCACTGGCAGGTGAAGCTAGGACAAGAGGGCATAGCCTCAAGATTAGAGGGAGCAGATTTAGGACTGAATTGAGAAGGAACTTCTTCACCCAGAGGGTTGTTAATCTATGGAATTCCTTGCCCAGTGAAGTAGTTTATGCTACTTCAGTAAACGTTTTTAAAGATAAGGTAGATTTTTTTTGAACAATAAAGGAATTAAGGGATACAGTGAGAACGTGGGTAAGTGGATCTGAGTCAACGAAAAGATCAGCCATGATCTTATTGAATGACGGAGCAGGCTCGAAGGGCCGGACAGCCTACTCCTGCTCCTAGTTCTAAAAAAAAAAATGCTGGCCTAACTAAATGAGAAAATGGATGCACTGAGATGTCTGTATCTGTGCTGGTGCAAGGTGTGCAGTTGCTATGTGATGATGTATCCTCAGAATGCTGCACCTTGTCTGCGAACTCTTCAGGCTTCTCCCTCATCAGGACCCACAAAGTACCTGTGTAAGATGAAATACACAAGTTGCTTCTGAAACGAAACTGAGGTCCAAATTAGCATTGTGAATTCAATGTATTGGGGCCACTTATTCAACTTGAATGACAGATAACTGCCAAGTGACAACCCCTTTTCTAATGCTGTCATCAGCTTTCTGGGCATCCTACGCCTCCCCATTAGTAATGACCAGTAATAATGCCACTCTGCCCATCTTAAGAGTTCCCTCTGTGATTGCAGCTCAGTCCCAGTTCTTTGCCTGGACTTGTAGGTCTTGGAACAACAGAAGGCAAAGAGTTATAACAGTGAGGAGCTAACCGATTACTGAGGATGCAGCATGAGCATTCAGAAAGGTGACTGTAAAAATGGATGAGAGTGTGGTGGCGTATATCTGTTGAGAGGAAGGCTGAAGAGAAACTAGTGTGTTTACCTGCAAGGCAGTCATTCAGAGGAGAACTGTGCAGAATGCTAGGGAAGTGTCAGTGATGGTTGCCAGTTGAGAGTCCTTGATATGATACTCCGGCTGCTTGCAGCCTCTGCTTCTGTCAGAGGCACTTGCTTGGGCTGATAGGCTTCACCTTTGAAGAGGATTTCTTTTCTTACCCTTTTGCACCTAACATTATCTCAACGAGTCATTGTAGTCCTTGCACTGCCAACTCTTATATTGGTGAGAATTCTAGACGATTAAGAAATAGAAAGTTTCAGTAATGTTAAGTTGGATGTGCAGTGGTTGTACTCTAGCCTACGTGAGTCAACGGCTTGTGGGCTCAACTTTCAAACAAAAGTCATAAACACAAAATCCATGTTGACACTGTGCTGCAATGTTGGAGGTTCTTTCTTTCAGGTGCAATGCTAAACTAAGATATTGTTTCCCAAAGTGAACGTAAAAGATCTCCAGGCACAATTTCAAGGAAGTTCAAGAACTTTAGATCTTGGCTACAATTTATCCTTTAACCGACAACACTAAAAACACACTATTTAGATCATTGGCACATCCCTTGTATACGCTAGTTTGCTCTGTTCCCACATTATAACGATGACAGTTTCATTACAGAACATTTTGGGGGGTCCAGGGATGGTGAAAGGTACAATATAAAGTTTTAATTCCACAACTGAATTTCATCAGAAGGCTCGAACTGTGTGTCATAAATTTAAGCTAAAGGTGAGAGAGGGAGAACTGTTCGATGGAAACGTGAAAATATTTAAAACACGATTTAAAATAACAGCAGTTTGAAGGCGCAATGTAAATACTTCAGTAGGACGAGTCCTCAAGTGATGACGACATGAAAAACAAGAACGCCGGTCAAAGTAAGGTAGTTGAGCCATAAGCCAGATGTGGTTATTTTAGACAACAAGGTGCAGGGCTGGATGAACACAGCAGACCAAGCAGCATCAGAGGAGCAGAGAGGCTGACGTTTCGGGCCGAGACCCTTCATCAGAAAAGGGGGAGGGGAAGGGGGTTACTCTCTCTGCCTCACCACTTTAATCAATAATCTATGAATATCTCCATAAGCTCACTTCTCTTACAATAAATATGGAAACGACTCACTTAAATGTCAATTAGCTCAGGACCAACCATCCTCTGGAAGTGTGTTCACAAATTCACCTTTTATTCTCCGGAAACAATATCTTTTCTTTTCCCCTCCCTATTCTTACATGTTTAACGAAGGGAACAGTCCGTCCTCCTCACAGTCTCTCGTTGAATAAGTTTTAATAAACGACAGCAGTAACAAGAATAAAACTAAGGCTGGCTCTTCGACCGTTGCCGTTTTCAGGTAAAAGCCGAGCGGAGCGGACAAGAACTCGGCGCGATCCGCGCGCGGCACGGCCCCGCCCCTCCTAGAACCGCCCCCGCACCGCCCCCCGGCTCAGATCCCGCCCCGCCCCGCCCCGCCCACTACACCGTCCCCGTCCCGCCCCCTGCTCAGACCAGGCGAATACGGATCGCTCCGACCATCCCGTGCAGGCACGAGCTCGCTCCGCCTTGCGCTGGAACGCGCCGCCCCGCCCCTATTGGTGCAGCCGGGCAGCGCGCGTGCCTGTTCGGAGACCCCGTACGGGCGAGTAGGTGCGCGGTCAGGAGGAGGAGGAGGAGGAGGAGGTGGCGGCGGCGGCGGCGACGACGAGGACGAGGACGAGGACGAGGACGAGGACGAGGACGAGTGCTGGTCGGTCCGTGAGTGTGAGGGCTCCTCGGCAGCATGGCGGGGCTGAGTGTGCAAGGGGAGCGGAGCTGCTGCTGCCGCCGCCGCCGCCGCCACCACCACCACCACCACCACCACCACCAGCGCGCCCAATGGGTAAAGTTGTTGCTGGGCGTCCTGCAGCTCCTTTTACCGAGTTTTCGACAGGGGACGTCTGCCGTACAAGGTTTGGGAATCCTTTGTGTGTAACGCTGTTTGAGTTCTCAGTATTTTCAAGGGACTCGGTTTTCGATATTTGCAAAGCCTGTAGTTTGTTAGGGTGTAGGATGACCCATGAACACGTTCTCCTCTGCCGAGACATTCGTGATCTAGACGGCAACGTGCGGTAATCAAGATCAACTTCTGATTCAGAATAGAATATTTCAGTGTTTCAGAGTGCTTAAGAAATTTTGTGAACCACGATATATTTTGTTATTATTAGGTTGTCTTTTCAAACTTAAAAGTTTCTTTATTCCAATTAAGTGCTTTTACATTTTCTTCATGCCTTCGAAGTGGTTTCACTTTCACTCAAAACTATGTATATTTTTCTTGCTTCGAACAGCACTTGCTGAAATGTCCAATGTAGTAGAGCTTTGGCCAGCAGAAGAGGGAGATGTGTTACTTCCTAATCAGGTAAGAATTTTGAAATAACTTCCCTTGTTATATTCGTAGTATCTTGGGAGTGGGAATTCCTGAACTCTGTGTCAAAATGTGTTTTCTAGTTTGTGATTGCATTACGATGTTTTTTCTTAACATGTTAAGATGACTTCCAAGGTCACGAATCCCTCAATTATGTATTTGTGTCTTGCTGATGGTAAGAGCTAATTAAATATTTAGAGATGCAATCGAACATGCACACTAACTTGTGCTTCTCCAGCATATCTCCCATTGAGTGAACTATGGAATAAGCCCTTTTTTTTATCAATACAAACCTGTCAATGTTAATTGTTCAGCTTTGGCATCACTGACTTGGGCTCCTTTGTCTTGTTAACAGGAAGGTTATTTTAAAATAAAAGAATAAATAAAACGTATTAAAATGAATAAAATAAATATTAGCATGACTGTATTGAGCAGATTTGCATTTTTTCACTTAATAAAAGTTTGTCAAGTTGATGTGTGGGTTATAGGGGGATGGGTCTGGGTGGGATGCTCTGAGAGTCCGTGTGGACTTGTTGGGCCAAAGGGCCTGTTTCCACACTATAGGGATTCTATGATTTATGATCTTTGATGCCTTGTTTCATGGTTCAAGCAGGAGTATCCAGGATAGATAGTAAACTGTATGCTGTGTCAGATGTTACTTGAATCATGTTGTTATGATTTCTGGTATAAGAATCTAAATTTCAGCTTTTATTTGTACTGTTAAATGCTGTCATATTGTGAATGAATCAACTTTAAATATTCTAGTGAACTACTTGTTCAATGAATTAACTTTTATTCAATAAAAGTTAACGTTCATGTTGATAGCAACTGACTGTATTGCAGTAGCTTTAATTTAGTGAGGTAGACTTACAAAGAAGTTAACCCAGTAACGAGGCTTGTAACTATGACTGAGTTCACAAACAAAATTTGCTATAAAGGCTATGCCTACTTGGCAATGATCACAAAATTCTGAAGTAGTACTTTTAACCTCCTTCCTGTGTGTGTATAGGCAGTTATATGTAAGTGTGGCCAAAGACCTGCTGAATATGTTTTATGAGGTTGTGACCCCTTCCACAAATATAACATTGTTGACTTCTCTATTTGTTTTGGTTCTTTTAACAACATCATAACCCAGAATTTGTTAATGCCCTATTTGAGTCTTTTTGAAATTGGGGAACTCACAGGTTATTGCTGCATACTGACACACATGCCAGGTGCCAGTATAGTTGAAATACGCATTCACGGGCTAAGAGAAACAGCAATTGTCTTCTAAATAAAAACTGAAAGAACTGCAGATGTGTAAATCAGGAATAAAACCAAAGTTACTGGAAAAGCTCAGTAGGTCTAGCAGCATCTGTGAAGGAAAAAGCAGAGTTAACGTTTCGGGTCCGGTGACTGCGGAAGGGTCAGATGCTGCCAGATCTGCTGAGCTTTTCCAGCAGCTTTGGCTTTGTTGCAGCAATTGTCTTCTGTTGCTCTTTGATTTCTTTTAATTTTATCCTACAAGACATGGTAAATTGTCATTGTCAAACGGACCAGATTAAATATGATTTGCAATGGGAGAGATAGGTTTGATTGTTTCCTCTTGTGGTAATGGCATTATTCAGAGATCAGATGTGTTCTATGACAGTTTTACATGCTACACTTTGCAATGAGAATCATACAACATTAATAAATATGTTGTGATATATTTCAGCATGGATGCTATTGCACACTGTAGCAATGCTAGATGTTTATTTATAAATCAGATTTCAGAAGAAAAATTGATGACCAATACACTCAGCACCTTTTTAGAGCAACTAAATGAAATTTGACACCAAACCACATGTGATATTAGGATAAGTTAACAAAAGTTTGGTTAGTCAGGTTTCAAGGAATAGCTTAAGGGTGAAAAGCAAGATGGAGGGGCTTATGGACGACATTCTATAGTTTGGGGACTAGTTAACCACAGATACTCACTACTTAGAACGTGAAAATTGGATGTGTGATGGGTAAAGAGATATTGGAAGGGTTGTAGGATCTGTAGAAAGTTAGCGAACAGCAGTCATTATCATGGAGGGATTTGGCAATAAGTTTTACTAGGGACGAGAATGAAAAGTGAAGATGATCATGTGATTGATCAGGTCAATAACTGCAGAAATGCCATGGTGAAATATTCATCAGTTAGGAATTTGAAAATGTGTTTGTAGGTGATTTAAAGTCATACAGCACGGGAACAGACCCTTCGGTCCAACCAATCCATTGCCAAACATAATCCCAAACTGAGCTAGTCCCACCTGTCTGCTCCTGGCCCATATCTCTCCAAACCTTTCCCATTGATGTATTTAACCAATGTCTTTTAAACATTGTAATTGTATCCACATCCACCACGTCCTCAGGAAGTTCATTCCACATGCGAACCATCCTCTGTGAGGAAAAATAAAAGCCCCCTCATGTCTGTCTTAAATCTTTCTCCTCTCACCTTAAAAATGTGCCCTCTAACTTTGAAATCCCCCATCCCAGGGCAAAGACAACTACCATTAACTCTATCTATACCCGTCATTTATTTTATAAGTTTCTCTAAGGTCATGTCTCAACTTCCCATGCTCCAGTGAAAAAAGGCCCCAGCCTACCCAGCCTTTCTTTATAACTCAAACCTTCCATATTAGGCATCATTCCTTCTGAACCCTCTCCAGCTTAATAATATCCTTCTTATAGCTGGATGACCAGAACTGGACACGGTATTCCAGAAGAGGCCTCATCAATGTCTTGTGCAACCTCAACGTGACTTCCCAATTCCTTTGAGGGATAATTTTTTTTTACCCTTGATGTAGGCATGGAGTAAATGGGTTGGGAGGTGAAAAAGGACTGTATGTGGACTGCGATACAAGGAAGTGATCAGAATACTTCATCTTTAAAATAATGATTCTGACTAATGGAAATGAAGAGACAATCTGAGAAATCATCCATTTAGCGATGAGCAATTTTTTGAGGATAGTGAATCTGTGAATTAATGCAGAGGGCTGTCAAGGCTGGGTCGGTAACTATATTTCAGACTGAGATTTCTATTCATAAATTTATTCAACGTTTGTGGAGATAAATCAGAACAGTTGAGTTAAGGATTACTGGATCACCCAAGATCTTATTGAATGATGGAGCGGACCATTGTGCTGAATGGCCTGCTTCCCTTCTGTCTCATGGTCTTGACATGACCAGTAACCCTGTGTCACATATTTACATTCGTTGCTGCATACTCTCGGCATAATTTTGTACCATTTGAAATGGTTCAAAGCCATGTTTGGTTTCCAGTTTTTCATTTCTCCCATTTTACACTCAAAACAAGCAGGACCTTGCTTGTCCTTTTATTCTCATTGTATTGTTTTACCTTGATTTTAAAGACAGACTAAAACATAGCCATGTAAACTTTCAATTTTGTAGTAGAGGATGAGAAGTCACTTGGTGCAAAGGTTGATGGTGGAAAACAATGAAGGTATCTTGGTGAGGAATTTGCCATGGTGCTAGGGTGGGCAGTAGAGAGAGAGAATTTGAGTGAGAAAAGGTGAGTTGATTAAAGGTGGAGATGGTGGAGGAGTAAGGATCAGGCCATTGTGTGATTTGCAGATATGCTATACTTTTCCCTTTTTCAGCCTAGACTTGGCAAATGGTGGCAGGTATAGTCACTTGGGATGGTGTCATCATCTTTGAACCAGGTTTCCAGAAAGAGCATGCTCTTGATGCAGTCATTTATAGCAAGTTGATGGATGGCATGGGCCCCTGTTGACGAATGTGTGGACATTCTGCAGAGAGGGGCAGTGAAAGGTGATCTTCTGTTAGCTTGGTTCACCTTGTGAAGGAAGATTGTGAACGTAGGATGCACAATTGAAATTGTTGCTCATAGAGTTTTGGAGGCTACCAAGGGAAGTGTATGCAGAACTTGTCAGCTAATCAGAGGAAATAAGCACTTGCTCCCAAGGTTTGTTATTGATACATTTCATCTATTTTTGAAATGAGATGTCAGTAGCTAAGCTTGGAGTCTGTTAAATGTATTTTAAAATTCACCAAGATTTGTGTGAAAAACCCTTCGGGAACCAGAGAAATTTCTGCTATTCACCTATCACCAAGCTGCATGACCGTCACATGCACAACCTAAACTATTTAAATAGTCTCAACGTTTTCCTTGTAAACGGAAGTAACACATCACAGCCACAATTCTGATACCCTAAAATGTTTGTTCCGTTCCATTCCCCTCCCCTCAGATGGTGCTTGACCTGCTGTGTCTCCAACACTTTGAGATTTTTATTTCAGATTCCTAACATCTGTAGGATTTTTTCACTTTTTTTCATTTTTTTGCAGAGTTTCAAAATCGAGCATAATGCACCTTGTGGCTGACTTTTTTTTTCGATGTAATTGCGATGTGTATAAAGGGCATTTCAGAATCATACTCAAGGAAATGGTGATTTTGTATGTCTTTCAAATAATTTAATTTTGCTTTCCTCTTGTACTGTAGGCTACTTCTGAGCAGAGTGTAGATGAGCTGCCTCTGGAACAAAGGTAACTTTGATTTCTGTTTTCACGTTGTAGCTGTAACCGTTACAAAATTACTTTGAAAATGGAGTTAGTGGTACTAAACAGTACTGACAGCTTTTAAAGTAATTGTGTCTTAAATTTGGTTCAAGAGCTATTGATTAAAATCTAAAATGTATGGGCTTATAGCATTGCAATGAGCTGTTAAGTTGGTGAACTACGAAGTTCCATCGCGTGTTTAACCATGATACTTTTAGAACCACATTGATACCATTCTGAGCTGTAGATAGGTGGAAAAACCAATTCTGTCCCATTCATTAAGCAATGGTATGTTCTTGAATTGCTTGTGTGCAGATGTTGAGTACTGGATTGCATTAGATCTGGTGGCCCATACTTCTCAGATAAACCCCTGGCATTGATTGTACAGATTCTTTCATGCTTATGTATCAAGCACTGTATATACTTATGACTGTATCAAGTAGTTTTGAAGAATACCTTTTATCTCATCTCCCAGAACCAACAAGGCTACTTTTCAAATGTTCTTTGGTTCACCACCTTGCTCCCTCAAACAAAAACCTCACCTTTCTTTCCTGAGGAGAAGTAGAAACACATCATTTGCCTCCCTACGTGAGAGGAATTCAGGGCGAGTGGTGCATTTCTTTCTTTTCACTCTGGGAAACAACTTAAGTCCTGTGCCATGTGGAGGCTAAAATTAGAAACTTGCTTGTGAATTGGTTCAGACCAAACAAAATAGTGTAATATCCAGTGTTGAAGCATATAGATCCATTAAGACATCAATTATATAATAAATGTGGTTGAAAGTTAACATTTCAGTTGTAGTGAAGGTTTTACATTTGTTTTAAAACTTGTGGAAATGATTAGTCTCTTTGCTTTTTGAGCGGAGAGTGCAATGAGGGCACATGTTTGGAGAGTAGAGGTTGGGCTTAGAAGGTAGTGAGTAATGACAGCAGAACTTAGTAGAAAGATGAGGGAGAGGGTTTAGCTGACAGACTAACAGATGCGTGACATTGATGCAAGGTAATGGTGAAGGTAGAAGTCTGTTGTAGGCATATCAGTAATAAGAGGATGGTAAAAGGAGTAGGGCTGATTAGGGATCAAAAAAAGGATTTGCTTAGAGATACAAGGCATGGTTGAGGTGTTAAATAATTACTTTGCTCCTGCCTTTATCAAGGAGGTAGATGCTACTGAGGCCATTGTGATAAAGGAGGAAGCTCTGTCATTAGAAATATTAAAAGTTCATAAGGCGGATTGATATTGGATAGACTATCAGTGCTTAAATTTGATAAGTCATCAGGACCAGACAAAATATGTTCAAGGATATTGAAGCAAGTCAGTAGAAATTTCAAGGGTATTGACCTTAATTTTGCAGTTTTGCCTAGAGTTCTGGGGCAATGCCAAAGGACTGGAGAATTGCAGATGTTATGCCCTTGTTCAAAAAAATATTTTAAGGATTAGACCAGCAATTACAGACTGGTCAATTTAACTCAAGGAGAGGGAAAATTTTCTAGAAACAATATTTTTGGGACAGAATGAGTAGTCATACATGGGGAGGGGGGGGGGGGGAATGAAGTAGGATGATTAGGAAGATCCAGTGAGGATTTCTAAAAGGAAATCATGTTTGAGTAACTTGTTGGAATCTTTTTTGAAGAGGTAACTGCGCCAAAGAAGGTGATGCTGTCAATGTGGTGTATGTGGATTTTCTGAAGGCAAATAGCACAGTGCAACTCAAAAGACCTCTGAGAAGTTTCAGTTCATGGTATAAAAGGGACAGTAAAAATATGGACATAAAGTTGGCTGAGAAATCATCAAAGTAATAGTCAATGGACATTCTTTTTTTTTGGGCTGGAACGGTGTACCCCAGGGGTTGATGTTGGGGCTCTTGCTTTTCCTGATTTGTGTAATGGTCTAGGTCCCAGTGTGCAGGGGAAGTTTAAAAGTTTATGGATGATATGAAGCTTGGAAGCATTGTGAACTATGAGGACATTAACAAGTTGGAATGGGTAGATAAATGACAGGTGAAGGTCCATACAAACAAATGTGAGGCGATGCAATTTGTAGGAAGAGGATGGACAGAAAGTATTAAAATAGTGGTACAGGAGTAACAGGACCTGTTTGTATAGTTGCATAGGTAAAACTGATGGAGAGAGAAATTAATAACGTACATAGTATTGTGGGATTTACTAACAAGGGCAAAGATTACAAGAGCAAGGAAGTGATGTTGAACTTGTGTAAGACACTTCCTAGCTGGAGCACTGTGTGTAGTTCTCAGTGTCACAGTTTAGAGAGGATATGAACATGGAGAGAGTGCAGGAGAGATTTATGAAAATACTTCCAGGGATGAGAAACTTCAATAAGAGGATAGTTGGGACAGTTCTCCTTGAGAAGAGGTTTGCAAGAAATCTGATGGAAGTTTTGAAAATCATTAGAGGTCTTGATAGAGTGAATGGAAGAAATTGTTCCAATTCTTAAAAGGATCAAGAATGGTTGGTGATGAAGAATGAGAGAGGACACATTTAAAGTCAATTGTAAATATAGCAAAGGGTGAGAAAGTTTTTGCATGCAAGGACTGGTTTAGGTCTGGAGTGCAGTTCATGGAAGTTTGATGGAGGTGGCAACATTTGAGGTTTTCAAGAGGGGACTAGATATTGTTTCTAATCAAAAATTATACAAGGCACAGGGCAAATGGTACTGTCGTAATCCTCATTGGATAGCGAATGCAAGCAGAAATGGCAGAGTGGTGGATGTGATCTATATGGACTTCGGTAAGGTGTTTGACAAGGTTCCTCATGGTAGACTGGTTAGCGCGTTAGAACTCTCGGAATACAGAGAGAACTAGCTATTTGGATGCAGAACTGGCTCAAAGGCAGAAGACAGTGGTGGTGAACTGTTGCTTTTAAGACTGGAGGCCTGTGACCAGCGGTGTCCCACAAGAATCGTTGCTGGGTCCACTACTTTTTGTTATTCATACAAATGATTTGGATGTGAACATAGGTATGGTTAGTAAGTTTGCAGATGACACTAAAATTGGAGATGCAGTGGACAGCAAAGAAGGTTACCTCCAAGTACAACTGGATTGTGATCAGGTGGGCCAATGAGGAGTGGCAGATGGAGTTTAATTTAGATAAATGTGAGGTGCTGCATTTTGGAAAGGCAAATCAGTACAGGACTTGTACAGTTAATGGCAAGGTCCTGGAGAATGTTGCTGAACGAAGAGGCTTTGCAGTGCAGGTTCATAGCTCCTTGCAAGTGGAGTCACAGGTAGATAGGATAGTGAAGAAGGCGTTTGGTATGCTTGCCTTTATTGGTCAGTGCATTGAGTATAGGAGTTGGGAGGTCGTGTTGCAGCTGTGCAAGAAGTTGGTTTGGCCACTTTTGGAGTATTGCATGAATTCTGGTCTCTCTCCTATAGGAAGGATGATGTGAAACTAGAAAGAGTTCAGAAAAGATTTATGCAGATGTTGCCACGATTGGAGGATTTGAGCTATAGAGATAGGCTGAATAGGCTGGGGCTATTTTCCCTGGAGCATCAGAAGCTGAGGGATGACTTCAGAGGTTTGTAAAATCATGAGGGGCATGGATAGGGTAAATAGCCAAGGTCTTTTCCCCGGGGTGGGGGCATGCAGAACTAGAAGGCATGAGGTGAGAGGGAAAAGATACAAAAGGACCGAAGGGGCAACTTTTTCCTCATGGAGGGTGGTGCATATACGGAATGAGCTGCAAGAGGAAGTGGTGGAAGCTTGTATGATGACAAAATTTAAAAGGCACCTGGATGGGTATATGAATAGGAAAGGTTTAGAGGGATATGGGCCAAATGGGACTAGATTTGTATAGGTTATCTGGTCGGCATGGACGATTTGGACTGAAGGATCTGTTTCCATGCTATACATCTCTATGACTCTATAAAAGACCTCCTTCTGCACTGTAGCACTTTTGTGATTCTGGATGGTGGTGTGCTGTTCCGTTCGATCAATTCGTGGAGTGAATTTTGATCTCTTGAGTTTGAGAACTGTAGCTTTCTTTGGGATGATGAAACAGTTTCACTGTTGCCATTTATTTTCATGGGGTGGAATCTGCACTCAAATTCTGCTGAAGTTTAGGGTGAATGTTCTATGTTAAGTTGAAGTTTTTCCCTAATATGGTTTGGACTTGCTTTGTGAAGCACAATTAGCTTTCAGTGGTTTGCTCTGTTCTGTTGTTGCTGTGAATTTTTCATGCTTGATATGTGACTGTTTCTAAGCTACATGTTGCTTTTGATATTGATGTGGGTTTAACTTGTTTCCTCACTCATGCCTTTAAGCGCTTGACCAGCATTGGTTTTTTATTACTGTTTTTATTCAGCTATTTAAAAAGCTGAAAGTATCTTTGGTATTTTAAGACACAAAATCAAAATATTAAATCTGAAATGAGAGCCAATGAAAAGCTGGAAAACCTCAACAGATCAGGCATCCTCTGTGGAGAGAAACAGAATTAACGTTTCAAATCCATGACCTTTCATCAGAGTAAGTCATTGAGCTGAAACTTTGGGCCAAATTATCAGAGTGTGGCAATCTCTCAGAATCTCTTAGCAAACCGTGTCCCTGTTTCACAGTAGTCAGCTGCTATATTCTGAAATGTAAAGGTGTTTTAAGTTACTTCAAGTACATCAGGTAAGTGTGATGGTAGGGTGCCAGCTGAAGGGGAGGTTGAAGTGCCAGAGGTAGGGTGGGAGAAGTGTGTCAGTAAGTAGTGTGCCACCTAGGAGGTGCTTGAGTGCCATGGCTGGGATACTAGATGAGCAGGTGATATGATGCCAGATGAGTAGGGGACAGGATGTTCAGTAAATAGGGTGCCAAGTGGGTGGGATGTCAAGGGCCAGGGTGCAATGTTGCAAGAATTGTTTAGGATAGGATGAAGTGAGTTGCAGAAATTGGGTGCAGTGTGGGAGGGTGAAAGGGGTACTGTGGTAGGTCAGGATGGTTGGGTCTATGCGTGTGTGTCAGGTTTGGTGTGGTGGTGGCAAAGAGGTT